CATATTTGCAAGCCTCTTTTTAAAATTATCTGTACACCAAGACGTGGCAAAAGATCTATGTATTTCTGTTGCACTGCTGATCACATGCTGTTTTCATACTACCAGTTTCCCTCACTTTTTATGTGCCCATGATGGAAGCCAGGTTCAAAAACCATTTAATTATATCAGTGCAAAATGCTGCTGCAAATTCTCCTAGGCTAGGGTGTAACTTCTATCTGCTTGATTTATACATGGTTCTCACTCCACCCTCTTGTCTCATGAGATTTCTGGCAGGGATAAATACATACTTTCTCAGCTTAAATAGTCAGTCAGGCTGAGATGAGGGTCAAGCAAGGGAACGAGTGGTACGTATATTAGTTACTAAGTACATAAGGATGGGGCAACTTTTTCCCCCCTCATCTATAAAATGTATATCCCCTTTCCCCCCAGAAAATGTATTATATGGAGCTGATGCATTCATAAGGTTCCCATCATGATTCATGCTCAGAAGGAATACATGTGTATATGTTTATGAGGGATAGGGATTAGGAGGCTCTTCGGATCTTGATCAATTACAGCTCCCATCCACCCTCACCACGGGTTCATCTAACTAGGACTGATGGGAGATGAAATCAAACAACATTTGGAAGGCTATCTATTGTCTGTCCCTTATAAAAACAAGGCAAGACGTACAACTGATGTCCTCTAGGAACGATTACTGAAAACGTAAGAGAGGCCCTACAGGTCCAAACCAAGTTTGGAATTTTCTTTCCCTCACTGGTCAGATACATGTATCTTGACAGAACACTTTGCCAAACAGGCCTAAAGATGATGATTCTCTTGTTGTTTGACCCAAGCATCTGGTATTTATGTTTCTCAATCTAAGAGACCTGTAGCCTATGTGATGCAGGATCCTTCTTCCCTTTTAAAATATGACACAGTATGGAAATATTGCAAATGGATTTTTCACCAAAAAAGGTAATTTATCAGAAAAAGGGCTCTGTATGTACTGGAGATTGTTTGGGTGCATTTAACTGGGCTGCCAAACTGTAACCCAAAGTATTTTTTTGCTACAGTGAGAACCAGGGCTTTCCCATTTTCTCTTGTTATGAATTAGGAACATATGAAATGCATGACTCATGACACTGATGTTACAGAAACATCTGTTTATACTGTAGACACAGGTCCAACATTATTAGATGCCAACACTGTTTAGTAAGATAACACCCTTTCTCTAGTGGCAGACGAGTTTATGTCCCACAATACATTATTGGGATTTTGTCCAATACTGTCTCAGCAAATGTAGTACTGGAATGCTGACTTCCTTTGGGGCAAACATGAGTTTATGCTCCGATTAGAAAGTCCAAAATCAACACTACAGGGATCAGTTTTCCCTGTTCCTCTGCAATGTCTTGATTCAAATGCTTCTAAGCAAATATGACATTTGTGTATCCTCAAACAACACATTCCATCATTAATCTGACAATCAAAGAGGGTTATCAGGGGATATAAGTAACAAAGAATCTCTAATTTTATGAGATAAAAAGTCAGAGAGGAGAGTCCAGCTTAGTTAGCTGCTGGTGGAGACTAGAGAGACCTTTGGACTGATCTAACAAGTCAGACTGAATACTGAGTAGAGCTCTTTCTCTGTGACTGTTAATGTTTAACTCACAAATATTTAACCCCTTTAAAAAGGCACAATGACTGCTGAAAGTTACACTTTCTGTTGAGCACTTTCTTCACCAATCCAGTGTCTTCCAGACATATGGAACTATAACTCTCAGAATTCCTTGGATAGTTGGAGAAGAGTATATTGAAATACTGAATACCATTTATGAAACCCAAAACTCAAGCTATGGAATACGTAATGTATGCTATTGTGACCATATATAAGGCCTCCTTTCTAGAGCAGCGCTTGGAGCCAGAATTCTAGATGGATAAGCATCGGCCGGGAAAGGAAAGGCCAACTGTGTTCCCATCCTTGCCAGAATGTCTGTTTCATATGTGTCTAGTACAGGGTACAGCACTTTGTTTACACTAAATACATGTCAAGGCATAATAGCTGAAGATCAGTTGTCATAATGGAAGAATTACTATGCTGGATTTGCTATTTGTAATTGAGGTCTCTAAATGGACTTACAAAATAGTATGCAGTTTGAAGGTCAGAGAAACAGAGGCTGAGACCTCTATTCCTTTTTAACTTTATTATTCCAGGTTTAAAGAGGCTGCGGTGTGACTTTGCGGAGTAATGACATTTTAAAAGGAAATCATGGCCCACTAGGTGGCGCTACAAACAAACAAAATGCAAGACTTCTCTGATACGCAGGAGCAATGAGTTAGAAACACAGACTTCTTAGCATAGCAAGCGCAAATATAAAACTATCCTGGCATATATTTTTTAAAAAAGGTATAAATAATGTTCTGTAAGTCATCTGTTGGTATTCAGGCACAGCACTATGTCTTGAACGGATCATACGATAAGAGATCAGATTACGTACAACCTCAGTTCATCGTTTACAACAATTCCCTTACTATACCAGACTGATTCATCATATCCAAGTGTGTTTAATATGCATGTGGCAATATCGCTAGCAAAAGTCGTGTGAGCAGAACTGGATGCATGTGAGAGAATATTCTTGACAGAGTACACAATGTCTCTACAAAAATCACATTATGCACCAGTTTATACTTGTTCAGACAAACTATTTAACTGAGAAACCAAGGTCTTCTATATGTTTTCCAGTTTCCAGTATATTCCCATACATGTTTCCTGAGGCTGGAAAAAGACTAGAATATATGACACATTGTGACACAAATATATCATGGAGTGCATAGACTGTAGGCAAGAAAACACATACACAGAACGTTTTCAGTTTCTCCAGATGTGAAAGATTCCCTATGGAATGAACCTATAGCTGAAAAACAAAACATCTGTAGAATAAAGAACTCTTGTAGATGAATCCAGGACCAGTCTTCTTCTCCTCATGCCTGAGTAGGGAGAAATATAACCTCTTTCCACATCACAGCTCATCATGGCAGGGTCCCCAGAGCCTCTGTATAAGGAGGGGTAGGTGGGAAAGTCCATTTCTGCATTGGCTTCAGACTGAACCCACCTCATTAGCTAATGTTTAGCTGCAAAATTACATCACTTTTGCAAATAAACATATTTTCTTTACTTAAACTATTCTTTTGATCAAAATATTAACAACCATTAAAAAGTTGGGGGGGGGGGAAATATACACTCCAAGTGCTTTTTGGACTAAAGGTCATTCGCCCTGTCAATATTAGCACAGAAAACATTGCAAAACAAAGTCTCACACTACTCTATTTGTGGAAACACAGGGCAGGCAAGAAATGTGTCTCCTGGAGCACTTGGCATTAAAAGGTTCTTTTCAGAACAATTTCCTAACCCTTTGACAAGACAGACCTGTTGACGTCATGCTTTTCAGACTGCCAGCATTACAACTGGCAGATCAAATTCAGAGATGTTTTTCAGGGCCAAAGTAGATGAGCCACTGGGGTTCTAAGATAATGCCACCTATGGAGGTAGGTGACATGATTAAATAACAAAAGAAGGGGCATTTAGCCCTTCACCTTACACTTGTTATTTTCCTCTAATAGGAAAAAAGATTCCATGTATATGGGATAGGCACGCTACTCTCTGCCCCTACCACATTTCAGATAAGAATCCACCAACATGTGAACAAGCAACTATACTCCACAGAATCACACTTACTTTTACCCCTGTCACAGTGGGTTGTTGCATGATCGGTTCTGTTTGTCTGTTCTTGGGCAATCCAAGAGCTCCTCATGCAAGCGTAAACCTAATTTATTGGAACAAGGCAGCATCCAGCTCAACAAAGCAGAAATCATGGGCAACACTCAGCACTAGCCACTGAGTCTAACTAATTAGCTACACACAATGTCACACAAGCAACATTCTCCTCACACAAGAGACTTTTCCTGCCCTATCCTCCCACCTGCAATATGTTCCACCTCACCCCAAAACTGCTCCAAAGGCTGCAACAGGAGACGGCAGAAGTCACAGGCTATCATGGGCTCCATTAAGCTGACTGAAATAGCTTGATTCCACCCATGAGAAGGGATACCAAGGCTGAACATTTTAACATAATTTTTCTGCCTTTTTATTGCACGAGAAATCTGACTAACTACTTAACTCTTACAAAAATCTTCATAAGGTTTGTTTCAAACTTTTAGAATAAACTCCTAGCAGCTGATGGTCTGAAAAATCTTTATGGGCAACTAGTATGGAAGAGCTTGTCTGATGATGCAGTAAGGCACTGACATCATGCAACTACAGCTATATACAATGCGTGTGTGTGCACGCACGTCTATGTATACACACATATGGAGAGAAGGATGAAATGGGCAACATGCTCATTATTATAAAGTCTTGACTATCAACAGGAAAATATGTTCCTTTTAGAATCTGAAAGGGGGCCAGTCCAACCTGCTGTTTGACAGTAGCACTATAAGCCAAGATGTGCAGCAACAGTTACAGGCAAGTATCTGTGGTGGTCTATCTCTTTTAGAAACTATCACTGGACAAGAGATAAGAAAGCTGAAAACAAAATCACTGAACCAACCAGTTTACAGACCCATGCTGGGAAAACCTGCAGTGCTCTTAGTATATGTTTCTTTACGAAACCATCTGCATGCAGGGCTAATGCCAGGGAGCGAAGTCAGTGGTCATGGAGAACAGTTAAAGTTTAGCCAAACGTTCACCAGACATAGCTGGTTCAAAACAGAAATCCATGTTTTAGTTTTGTCATACAATCTTCATGTGACTGCCTGTACCTTCTTCTGTTCCTTCTTTTTTTAATCCAAGAACCTAGAAACAGTGCCGTTACATCAATTACCGGGTAGCACAAGAGACTGCCATTCATGATTCATGTATCCTTAACATACTAAATACGTTTAATGTACGATCTTGGCTAACAGTTCTCAGATGAGTATAAATGTATGGGAGGGAGAGAATGAGTCATCTTGAATGTACTCACCCACTTGTAATGTCATCAGTCCTTATATTTTTCCCAAGAACATCGCCATCACTCATATATCCTGTAGCATCCACATTGATGCCTTCAAGATCTATTTCATCTCCTCCTTTGTCTGAGATATCCATGTGACAAACATTACTGCCCCGAGATGCCAGCTGTCTTCTCAAGGGTGCTGAGTACATGTAACGCCCTGATTCTGCATTGATGAACCGGCTGGCATTGGCTCTTGGAGGGTATCCATTGCCTACTGATGGAGCATCACCTGCTTGAAGACGGGGACTAGACTGCCCAAGTCTCCACGATAAAGGTGTCGGCCTTCCCGTCAAACTAAGAATACTGCGTCCACTTATTTCAGTGGTGACATTGGTATCAAATGTGGTTTCCAAGGTGCTTGAAATGATAAAAGATGGAAAATATGATATATAGTAATAATGAATTAGATTTCAAGAGAAAGTTGGAAAGCTTTTATCTAGATACTAAATGCTTGGAGTGAGCTGCAATAACAACAATAAAAAATAGAAATGGGAAAATTGTGGAAAGCTAAGTTGGCTGAAAAACAAGATAGATACATGTTTTCTATGCAATTAGTTTCAAAGGAAAATTACAACATTGCTGTTGTCACCATGGATTGGGCAACACAGCAGAAGTGGGATAAGGTGCATCCTTTGATGGGTTGTGGGTGGATACAATAGCCCCTTGTTACCAGAGGTCCTCCATCTCTTGTCTCTAGTTACTAATTATGTCTCTTGTGTGTCTCCAGACAGGATAATTTTCCACCCCATCTGGTAATATCAAGGATTGGACATTTTGTATGGAAGGCATAGCCTCTAATAAAGAGTTACATGTACACCCCCCACCTTGGAAGCTGAATTTATTTCCTAGTCACATAACATATACTATAGATTCACTAAACAGGCTTATGACAATTGTCGTATTTGTTCTATAGGAGTCTGTGAAGATGTAATGACTCCTTGGTAGCTGTCCTTTTTCACATTGAGCCACAGTTGGAAAAGGTAAACTGAGAGATTAAATGGGAGAGTAATGACTTCAATTTGCCAACCTAAACTTCAAGTACTGAATTTGCCTGGAATTTGATGTAAACATTTTTTCTGCCTTTTTAAAACAAGGTGGAATTGCTCCTCCTGTCAATAACTGCTTCCAACTAGAGATGGGGGTATTCGCATACTAATATGAAATACATTGCTCCCGATGGTTAGCCACTCTGCGACCTGGTAGAGAGGCTCATCATTCCGCCTTCTGCCAGAAGTGGCTTATCCATTGGGAGCAACGGAGAGATAGGAAGGCTCCACGGTGCCAGCATCAGCGGCGAAATCATGAATGGACAGTCCAGCCCCAGGGGGCAGGGCCTTTGTTATCTGTACCCGTAGGGCGGGGATGTTCATATTCATATACAAATAGCCCCATCTCTATTTCCAAGTATGGTAGAGCACATCTTTGGAACGCTGTCACCTGAAAAATGCATTCATTTAATCTACTCACTAGTCTAAAGTCTTTTTTGTTCAGCCATACCTTCATGTTATTTTATTGCACATTTTTATTTATTTTGTAACTGTTTTTCTTCATTTTTATGATGTGGATGTGTTTTTAAGAAATATTCCTGTCTGTTGCCTGGGCTCACCCAGAAAACATCATTCAGAGAATTAAAATAAATAAAACTTGGTAGTTGAGCTAGCTGTATAATGCAGATTAAGAAATAAATTTGGTAAAAACCACAAAGTTACTCATTACTTTGATAGAGTGAGTAATCATAGTTTTAAGGATATGGATGATTATGATACTAATGCTTGATGTAATGACTAATATTACTCAGTACTTTAATATGCTGTTGGCGATGGGGGTTATGCCATTTTTGGATATTTTTGCTAGTTTAATAATGGCTTTTAAAATTTAATTTTAAATGAATATATTATTAATGTATAATACAATACATTGATTTTCAAAAGAAAAAGGGTAAAGACAACAAATTATTTTTACTCAGGTTAGCATGTTACCCTTCAAAATAAGGTTTCTAGGCTCTGCTTTAAAGTGGTTGCAAATTATATTTCCTAAAAAAATCTTTAGCTGAATACCTGAATTACTAATCTCACTGAGTATTAGAATGTAACTGTTTTTTTTTTTTTGAAATCTTTAAAAATAAATATGAGAGCACCTTAAAATCTCCTTTTCTTTCCAAAAGCATACATTATTTTATTTCTAATAAAATAATAAGGCTTTCCCTGCCCAAAGACCAGGTAGGAATTCAAGTTATGCACCTTATCACACAGGTCAAATATAGTTCAACTACTTCTATAAACACAATAGTGCAGACCTGGTTAAAATGCATTAACTTCTCTCCTGAGCAAAGCTTGGTTAACATTTCAAGGGGAACCTTTGCACATCTCTATTCAAACATCACCTATTATTTAACAAGCATTTCTATGAGACTAAGGTTCTGTATACAGCCCGCTCCCCGCTCCCATTCCTTCTATGACCAAAAACTCCCTCTTCTTCCATCTCAGTAATATCCTAAAAAGGTATAGAATCTAGCCTTCAGAAAAAAGAATAAGGCACAATAGACGCTTCTTCCAGTTAATGTCTGCCATTATGGCTCTTAATCATTTCTGAGAGGCAGTCAGAGTGAAAAATAGGAAAGGCAAGCAGGCATACAGGGTTCCTCCTTCTGAAGAAACAAGCCACTCATACAAGTCACCTGTGAGAGACCTGGGTTCCCCGCAAGCTAGACATGGTCTCCTCTAAGTTTTGTCGAAGATCAGCTATATTCTTGACAGTTCGCAATCGGCGGGTTTCTGGATCTTCTCCTACGGAAGAAGGTAGAAAAAAAAATAAACTTTAGGGGGAGAAAAGCAACTTTTAGGCAAAAAACGAACAGAAGTAGCTCTTTCTTCATGACTCTAAATTAAACATGTTTTACTCCTTTTATTTTATTCACTTTCCAGAACCCAACATCATGTGGGTTTCAGTTTTTTAATAGCTATTGTTCTAGAAGAGGAAGCCCCGTTAGTTTATGCTAGGGCATCATGTCAAAAACGAAAGAACTAGAAAGACAAAAGCGTTGTGGCACCTTAAGGACTGTTATATTTTAACGATGTGGTCTGCCAGTGGTCTTGACTAGAGCAACATAATGACACATTATTCACTGGACAAAATGTGCACTGCCAGCAAATGAGATCAAGTACTTTAAGACAGTAAGATCTTACTGTTACACTGACAAGTAGTGGGGAAAGGACAGTTAAAATGTACAGTGGTGCCTCGCAAGATGATTGCCTCGCGGGACAATTAATCCGCAAGATAATGGGTTTTTGCAATCGCTGTTGTTTCGCAAGACGGTTTTTCCTATGGACGATTTTCGCAAGACAGTGATTTTTGCAGAACAAATTAACATAGTCTTGCAAGGCACCATTGTATGTATTTGAAAGAAACTGGAGATTTGTGGAGGCAGTATTGACCACAATATGTACATACAGAAACACAATCCCAGGAGATACCTACTGCTCATTTATCAAAATAATGTCTGTTAGAACAGTTCATAATGAAAAGATGGAGTGATCAAAAAGTAGCCTTTAACATTACAACTGACTATAAAACCAAGAAATATCACCAGAAGTCTTAGCTAGAATAAGAACGCTGCATTTTCTGACAGGGCAGATTCTAGCCGTGAGCTAAAAATCAGAAATGTGATATTAGCCAGCTTCAATTGCATCTGCAATCTGAAAGCAACTCCAAAAATATGGGAGAACAACAAATAAAGAATGGATCAAATATGATAATTTCAGATAAAAGTGCCAGTGTGGAAAAAAACAGTCATTTAAAATTAATTTCTAGTTTTCCTTAATGCAAAGATTGTGATGATCTCCTTTATCTCCTTAAAAGGGCCCGTGTGTTCTAATTAGTCTCTTTTCCCATGAAATAAATTTATTTATTTATTTATTTATTTATTTATTTATTTATTTATTTATTTATTTATTTACTTACTTACTTACTTACTTACTTACTTACTTACTTACTTACTTACTTACTTACTTACTTACTTACTTACTTACTTACAGTGGTGCCCCGCATAGCGAGGTTAATCCGTTCCGGATTAACCTTCGCTATGCGAAAACATCGCTGTACGGGGCAGGAAAAGCCTATTGGAACGCATTAAACTTAGTTTAATGCATTCCAATAGGCGCCAAAACTTACCCCTCCAGCGATGTTTTCGCTGGTCCGGCGAGTGCGGCGATTGGGGCAGCTCCGTATAGCGATCCCCAAAAAGGGATCGCTATACGGATTCTTCGTTATACTGTGCGCTTGTTAAGCGAGGCACCACTGTACTTACTTACACACAATGAAATATACAGTACTTTAGAATACGAGGGCAGCTGCACAGGATCTGAGAATAACACATGTCCCGCTTACCACCAGTCCCAGACTCCCATAGACTGCTCCCACAATGTTGTTTTTAAATATGGAAGTGATTGAAAGATCATTTCTGATTTTGTAAAATGCTATTTGGGACCCTCTCTTCACCCAGGAAAAGTTATAATTTATGGCAATACTAACAGGGTTGTTGCAATATTTGAGATGTTCTAGGAGTAATTCATCTCCTTACAAAAGGCACATGTGTTCTAATTAGTCTCTTTTTCAAATGACTCTTTTTTCCAGTGAGGAAGCGGAGGAAGTGTTTCATTTGCTCCCTTCTTAAGCCTGTTCATTATATTGGCAATTTGAACAGGCAGGCTCACTTTCGGTTCATTTCTAGTGATTGTCCACTAGAAATCATCACAATCTTTGCATTAAGGAAAGCTAGAAATTAATTTTAAATGACTGTTTTTGGAAACAAACCAAAACAAAGTGATTCTACCTACACTAAAAAAAGGAGAAGCCACTGACAGGAGCCAGAAAGGCATAGGTAAGAACACTCTGGGGGCAAGCTAGTTCACTCCAACAAAAATGTCATCCAATCTCTGTCTTTAAGAGAAAACCAGCCCTTCCTGCAACACTCCAAACAGCAGGCTAACTGCTCATGGAGTCACCTCGTACATAGATGCTTTGCTGTCCCATCAAACTGGATCAATCTCAGATTTAAGTCTAAGAAAACACTACTTCCAGAGGATAAGGAAGTTTTCAATTGATTATATTGTAAGGCATTCTAATTCTTATTTCATTCTATTCTAAATTCTTAAATAGCAAATACATCACATTTAAACTAACACTCATAAAGTACTGTTGTAGATTTAGACCTCTCTAAGGATCAAGTTAATTCCTTTAGCACAGCGATGGCAAACCTATGGCACACATGCCATAGCTGGCACACAGAGTCCTCCTCTCTGTGGGCACGTGAGTCATAAGTTGCTGGATCGCTACTCCTGGCAGCCAAACCACAGTGCTAGTGCCCCAACAGGCAGTGGGCCAGGATCTGGAGCAGTTGACTCGGGCAGCAGTGGACTGGCCGATCTATAGGATCTGGAGCAGTTGACTCGGGCAGCAGTGGACTGGCCAATCTATAGGTAATGGCGGAGTTGGGTACGACTGGAGGTGGATCTGGAGTGGGGTCTGGAGACACCTCCGTTCTCAGGATTCCTCCTACTGCCACCACTTCTGTTTCCACCGCCTGCTGCGTTGTTTGTTTGTTTCATCTGCTGCATTGTTTGTTTGTTTGTTTGTTTCGGTTTGGGCACTTGGGCTCAAAAAGTTTTGCCATCACTGCTTTAGCAGAACAGAAGATGCTGAAGCACTCAAAACTGATGGTCCAACAACAGACAACCAAGAGTACTGTACTGTAACTGCAGGAGGTGTCATTCAGCAATGGCAGATAAATAATACCTAAATTGTAGCATCAGGCAATTCACAAGCAGGTAAAGACCTTTCTCTACAAGCAAGCTTTCCCTGAATGACTAGCTGCCTGAATGGGGTTTCTAAAATGAATTGTTGTACCTTTCTGCTTTGAATGTGTTTTGGTGTTATTTATGTTTTTTGTTTGGTATTTGTTCAATTTTTAGTATTTGTATACTCACAGTTGTTAGCTTTTATATTATATTTTAATTATGTAAGTTGCCTTGGGTCTTTTTAAGGGGAAAGGCGGGGGAGAATAGCCTAAATAAATAAATATGCGGGGGAGAATAGCTTAAATAAATAAATAGGTCATATCATATTTCAGCACTTATAAAAACTTCTTTTGAACTCCAAACATGTGTTCAGAAAACTAAAAGGCCAACTCAATCAAAAGTCATGAAATAAATCACAGATTAAAAGTTTTTTACAAAGTCATTTTCATGTTATCATTTCCCTGAGTAAAGGTTATTAACATGTAACTCCAGTCAGCCTGATGAATTTTGCAGCATTCTGCACTAAGGCGACATATGCCACTAAGTATGAATATCAATGGATAAGCCATGAGAAATTGTTGATTTGTCGCATATTCGTCTGTCCATTCTGGAGACCCCAACGAATACAAAATGATTGCCTGTTGTTTTTTATTTGTCACTTTGGAACAGAGGCTTGCCCTCTCTGCCTATGCCTCTGTGGATCATCTGTTCCTTGGGAGGATAGGCAGAGAGGAAGGCTAGGCTGCAGGAAGGGAAGCTGCTGCCTTTGCGGCAAAGATGGTGGTAGTAGCAAAGGCAGCAATACAAGGTAGGTAGGTGATGGGACAGTGGGAAGGGGGCAAGCTCTGGGGGCTGGGGGCTCAGCTTTTTTTTCAATACAGCCACCAGTTGTCTTTAAAGAAACCAAGTACGGACAAACCAATTTGTGGTTTGTTGGTAAAACATTTATAAGTTAGTGGTTCTTCGTTTGTCAACCTAGACGAATGAGGAACAGGACAAATCACCATGTTGGCAGTTCGTCCCCATCTCTACAATAGATATATCACGACAACTAAAATGAAGCTGCGTGTTCAGCAACAGTACAATACTGAACCCCAGTTACATACACCAGAAGAGGACTGTTGCCTTCCCTGGCAGCTCCTGATAGGTAGGTGATGGGACAGTGGGAAGGGGGCAAGCTCTGGGGGCTGGGGGCTCAGCTTTTTTTTCAATACAGCCACCAGTTGTCTTTAAAGAAACCAAGTACGGACAAACCAATTTGTGGTTTGTTGGTAAAACATTTATAAGTTATTGGTTCTTCGTTTGTCAACCTAGACGAATGATGAACAGGACGAACCACCATTTTGGCAGTTCGTCCCCATCTCTACAATAGATATGTCACGACAACTAAAATGAAGCTGTGTGTCCAGCAACAGTACAATACTGAACCACAGTTACATACACCAGAAGAGGACTGTGGCCTTCCCTGGCAGCTCCTGGGTTTCCTGGAAACATCAGACTGGTCACTATGGGGAACATAAAGCTGGAACAGGAGGGCTTTCTTTTATGTATGCTGCTATTCTCTTGTGGCAGGGCCACAGTTTGGATCAATTTTTTATGAATTTGTTATTCCTATTTTGTTTTGAATGGGCAGCAATGATTTTAAATTTTCTTATTTTACTAGAATCAGTTACAGTACTTTTGAGCTACAATTTCTCATTATTTAATTCATTACTGCTCATTTTGGAGGGAATTTAAATGTTTTTTTTAATTCTCCAGTTTAATGAATAAAAAAAACACAATGAATCAAACTCTTAGAATTTTCTTAATGGTTCAACATTACCAAGATTAAATCTTTAACAACAATCAAATATGCATAAACACCAGGGATGTCAGCAAGAATCCCAAGTCCAAGTCTTTTGTACCAAGTCCTGAGTCCCAAGTCCCTATCACAAGCAAGCTTTTTCTCCAGAAAACAAGGGAGGGGTGGGTGAGTTCTTAGTCACAAGTCGAGTCTGAGTCATTGAAAAAAATGAGTCAAGTCATCATGCAACATAAGTCTGACTTGACAATGAGTCCTGTGACTGGAGTCCCTATCCCTGATAAACACAGTCCTATATAGCATATATGTCTTACACTGTGTACAGAGATCTACTGGATCAATAAGTTTAGAACAGGGTAGAATAAGCACCAGTAACCAAGCAGTGAAATTTTACATAAAGGTTTCCCGACTGAGCAAAATGGGGCGGAATTAAAACCTGGAAATCTGAACAACTGAAAATCAAAGAAGCAAAATTATTTGAAAACAAAAATGAGATTCAGTGGGAGAGCAAGTTGTAACTTCTGTACAGGTGGGGTCTTGACTTGAGAACTTAATCCATATTGGAAGGCGGTTCTCAAGTCAAAAACTCTGTAAGTCAAGTGTCCATTGACCTACAGTGCATTGAAAACCGATTAATCCCGTAACAGGCCGTTTTTGTTCCATTTTGGTTTTTTTCTGGTCTGTAAGTCAATTCTCAGGCTGCAAGTCAAACCTAAATTTTGCGGCCAGAGAAGTCTGTAACTCAAAAAGTCTGTAAGTCAAGCCGTCTGTAAGTCAAGGGTCCACTGTAATAGTTTTAAGCTAAAAATGCTGCTGGACTTTTAAATTAATTCTGAATTAAGAGGCAAGGTGGGGATTTGACAAAGTGACTTATATGAATTACCAATTAAACTTTTGTACAAAATTGAATAAAAGATTCTTTAGGCCTCTGCCTGTGATATTCAAGGACCTGCATCAAACATGAAGACACAGAAGAACTCCAATCTTGAGTCATCAGAAAGAAGCATCAAGGACAAACAAGCATATTAACCTTCCTTCTGTCACAGAGGGAGGAAAGGGTAATTACTGAATCTCACTGAGCCTCATCTTTTATTCCTCAGTCAACACAAGTCAACACATTCAGTGCAACCCTTACCAGAAAGATCTTCTAAAATAGGCTGTCCAGTTTTCGTGTAAGGAGCAGGATCCATGCTTGTGCTTACCCCTCCAGGGCTAGGCTCAGCCGTTACATTCCCTTCATTGTCTGTCTGGGATCTTAAGTGCAAAACAGAATGGCAGAGAAAGGAAGATTTAGTCATTCATAAGCTGAAAGGAATTCCGGCACCAATACGACAGCACTTGCCATCTAGTGATGTGTCCTCTCCCCAGGATACACTAGCAGACTGACTTTACATAATTCATTAGTCCCATGTTGAGCTATGTCCTAGAAATGGAAACAAGCACTGAACTGTAAAAAACAGGAAATATTTGCTGTTGTATATAGGTTTTGCAAGCCCTCAACTGGACTTTCAAATACCTCCAATTTTAAATTAAGTCACCTGTTTGTTCAACAGCTGATGTTGGTGCTCAAGGCCCAATCATCACAGATGACAATGGAGTTCACTTTGTGAAATGAACTACAGACTTATGCCAGCTGCCATTTGTCATCTTCCTATTTTATACTTATCTACAGTGGTGCCTTGCTAGACAGTTACCCTGCATGACAGTTTTTCGCTTAGACATTGACTTTTTGCGATTGCTATAGCGATTCGCAAAACAGTGATTCCTATGGGGGAATTTCGCTGGACAATGTTTGGTCCCTGCTTCGCAAACCAATTTTCACTAGACAACAATTTGGACAGCTCCCTCTGCGCTTGCAAAATGGGTGTTTTCGGGAGCTAAGCTTCACAAGACAGCTATTTAAACAGCTGATTGGCAGTTCGCAAAGCAGCTTTCCTATGGCAGACCTTCGCTAGACAATGACGATTCTTCCCCATTGGAACGCATTAAACAGGTTTCAATGCATTCCAAAGGGGAAATGCTTTTTGCTAGACAATGATTTCGCTAAACAGCGATTTCAGTGGAACGGATTATTATCGTCTAGCGAGGCACCAGTGGATTTCATTTATATCCCATCTTTCCTCCACTAGAGACAATCATCATCATTTAGAGCTGCAGAGCTGGACAAGACCCCTGTTGAGGAGGCACAGTGGGAAACTGAACTACCAACCTCTCGCTCTGCAGCCAGACACTTAAACTACTGACATAACCAGAGTGATTTAGCCACACACAACAAGGTGTAGTGCATGGGCCCAAGACCACGCAATAACCTGCCAAAGTGAAGAAAAAATTCCTCCACTAGAGACAAACATCATCATTTAGAGCTGCAGAGCTGGACAAGACCCCTGTTGAGGAGGCACAGTGGGAAACTGAACTACCAACCTCTCGCTCTGCAGCCAGACACAAACTACTGACATAACTAGAGTGATTTAGCCACACACAACAAGGTGCAGTGCGTGGGCCCAAGACCATGCAATAACCTGCCAAATTGAAGAAAAAATTAGGAACAGAGGAGAGTGGCCGACACGGAGTCAGACATTATGATGGCTGTAAGGTGTATGTTGTCCTATAAATATAAAATGTTAATGTTTTCAATAATTTGTACTATGTTTTATTGCATTTCTTTTGTCTTTGCTATTGGTATTACTGTTAAGTTTGTTTTCTCTGGGACAAAGGGAGGGTATTCATCTAAAAACAAAAACAAAAAGAAACAACAATCATTTAGAGGAGTCTTCTCAAGCCAGTTGCATACCAGATGTGTGGGAATCCCCTGCAATCTCACAGTCAGCTGTCTGGAAAAGGCTGGTTTAAGGTGACTTTTGAAAGCAGCAATTAAGTAATTTGTCCTGCCACCTCCCGATTATACTTATGCAGTTTCAAAAGCATTTAACCAAGAGAAGTAAAAATCTACTTTTTGGTCGACATTAGACATGGGCTATTCGTATATTCGAATCGCAGCACCACAGGTGGCATGGAAGCCCATTCCCTCCCCTAGACCCGACCGGTGCACTCACTGGTTGCCGCACAGCGCTGGGGTCCTTTGTTGTCATACCAATTCAGGAAAGATCCTGGCTGGCACTTCACCACCTTCTCGTGCAGCCGACCACTCTGTTGAGGAGGCAGGACAGCGAGTCTCCCCACTCAGCTGATGAGTGGTTGGCTGTGCAGGGAGGCAGGAAAGTACCAGCTGGGTTCCCTCCCAGATTGGCGGTACAAAAACAGTGAAGGACCCCAGGGCTGCGCAGTGACCAATGACTGGACTAACTGGTTCTGGGAGGAAGGAATGGGCCTCTGTGGCATCTGTGGTGCCACAATATGTATTTGTACCCCAGGGATACAAAAACAAAGAACCCATGTCTAATCAGTATCATGCATTTTCATGTGTCATAATGTGTTTTTAACACTTTAAATTAATTATTTTAATGCTACTATGTGCTTAACTGGTTTTTAATGTAACAATTTACAGTAGGCTCCTGTGTCTGTAGGGGAAAGGTTTTAAGCCCTCCTGGAGATGCCTGAAACGAACTCGTAAGTTAAGGGTTGCTGCTGAGCCCTTTGCTTCTGAGGTCAGTGGGTGAAGCGTGAGGAAGTTGTTTAGTTGTTCAGGTATTGCCATTTGCCTTCACTGCCTCTCCTCTGGCCTAGCTGAGATAGCTGGACAGAAAGCAAGGCGCAAGGCACCGAGGAGTGCTTGAGCCACTGGCAATCTGTCCAATTGGAGGAAATAATGTCTTGAATTCATAGACCTAGTACAGCATAACTAAATCCCGCCCCCAACAAAACTGAAATAAAGCATAAAAGTATTTTCCCATTGTAGTCTAGGCTAGGGCAATGGTTAGTTCACGAATAATTATTTAATAATTTGTGAACTGCCCTGGGATTGCCGCACCACAATCTTACAAATTCACTTTAAAAATAATTAGTTATATCTACAAACAGTCCATTGACTTTTCAGATAGTTTGCCATCTGTGGGGGGCAGGGAACAGAATAATCCATGTCCTATTTGAACAGCAAGCTTTTGCTTCTTAGGTTCTACTGTAGATTCTACACTCAACACAACTGTTATAGTCTTCATTTCCACCACCACCCCGCCATAGTCCTCCTAGAAAGAAAGCCTAACACAGAAAAAAAATCACTAAAAGGGTCGGACATGATCCTCTGGGAAGAGGTATTCTTACCTGTACATAAAAGGAGCTACTGTGGCAGTATTTGGGTGGCTGTATTGCTGTTGTGGATGAGGTAGCTGAACACTCACAGTATTGCTTCCTGTGGTCTGTGTGGTACTGCTTGTTGGCCCACTGACAGCCTGCGTGCTGCTGCTAGTACTCAGGGCAGACACCCCTCCTATTCCTCTCCCTTCAGAGGAGGCCAAACTTGATGTGGAACTCGAATTTCTGCTGTCTAACTGGGGCTTCTGATGAGAGAGGCCTGAGGCAGGCTTCCCACTGCGGCTTCTCTCGCCGTCCTTTGCAGAACAATTTGGGGCACTTGAGGATTTCCCTGTGGTGTTTTTCATCCCTGGTTTTGGTATCCCACTGTGTGAAGGGGCAGGTGCCTCCTTCTTGGCACTGTTTAGCTTTCCTCCTTTGGGAATAAAGCTTGCGATCTTGGAGGATTTTTTTGGCATCTCTGTGATAGCTGGTGGGGTTTGTTCTTCTTTCAGCTCCTCCTTCATGTCTGTTTTCTCTGTTACTGATATCCTCTTGGCAATGTCTTTGTTTTTTTCCTTTTCTTTATCCTTCTGCTTTTCTTTTTCCTTCTCGTTGCCCTTTGGGGAACTCTTCTTGTTGGTCAGTGCCCGGCTAAACGTTCTTTGTGCAATTCCCTTGAGTGCAATTTTGGGACTATTAGATATTGATCCTGGGTTGTTCACATTCCGATTTGCAACATCTGTCTCTTCGCTTTCCTCCAAACTGGTTAGGGCCTCCAGTCTTTCACAACTTGTGTCCCTGGACCCTGGACATTCAAGGGATGACCCTCCAGCTTTGGAGCCACCTTTTGTATTAAAGAGTTTCAGTTTCTCAAGCATGGATTTCTGACCATTGGGAGTTGTTTTAACCATCTCTGGAGGCGGTTTCGGAGGCTCTGGAACTTGCTGTTTTACTGCTAATATGGAAGACGTGGCAGTGTGCTTAGCACTAAGAGACTTGCTGCGCCAGGGTTTAACTGCAGAATTGGGCTGGGGGATGGCAGAAGAGTTATTGCAACTGGCAGCATTGGTGCCACTGCTGCTTTGGGCTGGAGGTGGTGCATTTTCATTCATTCCTGTGGGCTGGGAGGGTAAATCGTCTGCTGGTTCTAGAAGAGAGGGGAGGCAAAAAGGACAAGAGTGTGAAGCTTTTGTCTTTGGAACAGCTTCAGATAAGCCCAGTTTGCTTTCACTGTCAAAGAGGTGGCACTCTATGGCAACTAAGAACTATTTAGGCATTATTTGCACATAAATTTTCACCTTTTAAATGAATTTTTGTTGCCCAGTATCGCTCTTACACGACTTTCCTTTTTAAAAGATTTACAGCATTTGAAGCAAGACAAAAATTATTTTTATTCTGTTCAAAAAGCAGCAGCCTGTCTCAATTGCCAGAGATGAGGACTGCTCAGGCTTTTGCGTTGTTTTCTTATTTTAAGCCTGCAGGCAAGGACCGTCTGTTTCTAGGAACACTCTACTCTACAGTTAGGTGTTCCCCAGTAATATGGAATTCTTCTCCAAGCTGTCCAACAACAACTGTAAACAAAGGCACAGGAACAGAGTGTGTTAAATTGTTCCACTCAGGCAATACTGAAATATAACGACGACGGCGGCGACGACGACTACTAATACTACTAATACTACTAATAACAATAACAATAACAATAACAACAACAACAACTACTACTACTACTACTACTACTACTACTACTACTACTACTACTACTACTACTACTACTACTACTACTACTACTACTACTACTACTACTACTACTAATAATAATAATAATAATAACTTCTGACCAAACAGTCTGCTTTAATCTTAGTAAAATTAGTTGTACAGTACTTAGTTTTCTTCTTGGCAAAGTCCCAAATGGAATATAAACCAAAACACAGGAGAAAATACAAAAGAACTTCATCAGCAGATCTTTCAGGCAACAGCAAACTCATTTACCAAGCCCTATTCAAAACTGAACCAAACCAAACCCACAAAACTAAAACTCAACATGTCCTTTATTCAGACAGCAATCGTACATAACACATCTATTTCATAATTCAAACCAGTTGTAATAAGAAGCGCTAGCTGAAAATACTTCCTTAGCAAGTCCAAATCTCTTGATTTATCTTTCTTACCGAAGGCATTTCCTAAAGACAGAGTGTTAGAAGCACACTTGCTTACTCACCTCTTGAGAACCACTTTCTCTTCTAAACTTACTCCTTGCAAACTTTCTCTTCTGGAGACATTACATCCCAATTACTGCAAATATATCTTCTGTTATGCTGCTCATGTTTCCAATTAACTTTTGTCATCTCTGACAGTTAGCCTCCCCAGCAGCTTGCTGGGGATTAACGGCTTTTACCTGCCGTTCTGGATCCTCTGGCCATGAATGGCATATACAATGGCTCAAAGGTTTCCCCACACTTTTTTTTTTTTGAACTTAAAAATAAACAGCAACTGACAGCGAACGTTTACAGCAGTTTGGAACAGTGAATACAAGTCTCTGAATCTCCGGCTAATGCAGCTGCAGAGCCGTTTGACTTTTCTTTTCCCTGCTCACTAAAGATCCAGCTCTGTTAACTTCACTCGTGTGATCCAGACCAGACCCCCAGCACACCCATCTCCCTTTTCCTCGCAGATATTTGGAGTAGCGGCAGATTTCTCCAGTAACAAGCCTTATGGCCATTTCACACTGTTATGTCCTAAATCAAACAGCAGATGGGTCTGTATGCTTTTTTTTTTTTTAATAGAAAGGAGGCATTGGTAGGATGGGAAAATTTCCAGTGTGTTGGATTATTAACCAGAAACAAGTAAACTGGTTAATCTCTGCTCCAGTCCCACCCTTCACCTTCTTGGGAAGCGTTATGCCAGAAGTTGGCTCAGGCTTGAGAGGCTCCCTGGTTTGGCCCAGATTCATAACGTCCTTGAATAAGTCTTACACATAATATAAAAAACTACAAGGACTTTTCAAGAATTCACCAGAAGACTGTACACAAGTTACATTTATGCCTGAGCTATTCCATAACTTCCATGAGAGGCATTTGGATAGTAGATTCCCAGGGCACTATTTGGGTGCCCTTTGCATGCACAATAATGGTACACCAAGATAACATGTGTAAAAACCTAGACGAAGCTTAATTTAGAAACTTCAGTTACAGCAGGAAGATTGCTGATTAAGCCACAGAGAGTTCTTTAGCTTTTAAGGGTTTATTTGGGAAATTCAGGAAAGGATGTGTTCCATTCATTCCATAAGGATCATTTACCTGTGCCATGCAGACGTGTGAATAGCAAACTACTTTAACTGTCTGTACTCAGGAAAAATCACAGTTAGGTGGGGTTATTTGCATTTAGGACCCTCACAGGTTTGAAAAAAAGCTAGTAACAATTGTAGATTTGTTTCTAAAGTTGCTGTAAAATTTAATTGGTGTATGCAGCAGGAAGGCTTTTAAATATAGTTTAAATGTTTAGTTTCCATATTCTTGAAAGAAATCGTTTATTAGCTTAACCTTCTCAGCTAGACAATTCCTAAGGCCTTATTCAGACAACCATTTCTCACAAATAAGTCACAGCAAGTTTTGGGCTCCTATGCTCATTCTCAGCTCTTCTCCTTTGTATGTAAATCATTTCTACAAAAGAAACAGAAGAGTTCACTCTTCTCCTTTATTAAGAGGAGGAGTGAACTCTTCATTGTAGAAAAGGTGATAGTTTTATACAGTAGTACATAAGAGCTCAGGGAGCTATGCTAAGATCTAACCAAAGTTGGTTAACAAAAAAAAAAGAAAAGAAAACATCAAATCATGGTTTGAAGCTGATTTGTTCAGAACAAACTATGACTGCCTGAGTTCAAACAGAGGACAGAATTTGGGTTTGTTTTAAAATGGAAGTGGTGGGTGCAGTGAAGGAGTGAAGCACTAGGATCATGTGATATCAAGTGTTTTAGGTGATGATCACCTGAAAGAGCTTTGTCCCAATTCATTCTGCTTTGCCTCTTTTCTAGTTTCACTTCTCCTTCTCCACTCTTTGCTATTCTGTGGTCTTGTTCTCTGTCTCTCATTTTGCCCATATTTCACTTGAAGAGCTAATAGCTGGGAAGTTTTGCAAAAGTGTGATCCCCCCCCCAGTGTACTCTTTGCCTTCTCTAACTATATGAAACCTTTGTTCAATTCTTCCATTAAGTCCCACTCCTCTGACATCTGTTGCCCTCACGACAGATTTTTCTGTTCTAAAATCAGGTCACTTTGCACACACTTGCAAAAGTTTAGTTTGGCACTACAAGTCACACCATGTCAGGCTTTTCTGCCTGAAGAAATAACATATCTCCCACTTTATCAGTACTGATAGTTTACAAAAGTAGTTTCTTAAACATTTTGATATAACAGGAATCACTCATTCTGTAGCTGGAGTTCCTTTTCCACTGAAAAACCAGGCAGCTTTAGGAATGCTTTTCCTTTACGGTCCACTGTCTGGTAGTCCAGCCCAGTTCATTGAACAACTGAACTTGTTGTTCTCAATGGCTGCTGACTGCTGGACTCAGCCCCTGCCTCTGCCTTTTCAGCACCATTTCACTTTGTTTTATTGAACTCTCAGTGGCTAACTTTGTAGGCAGTTACTTAGGGCTGCTTGCTAGTAAGGTTGACCCTATTTTCCAAAGCATGATCATATAAGTGCAAACCCTCTTGTATGAAGTGTATCAGCTGCACGCCTCTTTTTAAAATGTTTTTCTTGGCAATGTTTTCAAACCCCAGATGTAAAGCTTAATAATCACAACTATCTGTCACAAGTCACCACATATCGACTCTAGCATTAGAAATGAATCATGCCATAATCCTTACTCCTGTTATGTGATTACTTCCTGATCATGTCTCTTCCCCATCATATCGCCTAAGAGGGATTTAAGACGCTTACAGCCCACTCCTGTTATAGATAGGCAACATTAACAGCAGATTAAACTCATACTCAGTTCCTAGTTGGGAGCTGCTGGAAGAAAATACATACATGATAACTCTACCATGTGCCTGCCTTTACATCTGAAATCAGTTCTTCCTTGCCAACACTTCCTTCAATTAACATTCATTTATCCTAGTAAATTATGTTTTCTATGGCGGCACAACATCTTAAAATGATTCCATTCCCAAAGATGCTTCACTTGAAATAGCACAGACTTTCTTCCACTGAACACTCAAATGGTTTTGTGATGAGTTAATTCTCATCTGTCTTCTTTCCTGAGGCAGTTTTCTTTTTGCAAAGACCTTTGCTGAGTTTAATCCACAACAAGTGAAATATGTCCAAATTCAAAATACAGTTGGGCTAAATAATCACTTTCTTTTCTCCCCTCAAAAGCAAGTGCTGGCCCTGCAGTTTATTTAATTCCCAGTATTTCTGTTGCAAAGACGTTGGTGGTCCTGCTTTAATGCCAATACACACTGCAGTACATTTAGGATGGATTTCATTAGCTCCTGTAGTGACCTCATTGCAAACGCAAGTCTAACCGCTTGCAGTTGAGATTATGTCTATGGTTTAAATTTTTCTGTGAAATGTTTGAGGGCTTGCACTATAATAAATGCTGGAGAAACTATATGCAATTTCCCATCATTTGTCAAATTAAATCTAAACACAAGCTGCTCTCTTATGGTTACTACCATCTGTACAGCATTGCTAGAAGTAACCAAAATAGAACTAAGACAAGGTTCTAGGTCGAGACGTTGTGAAAAGCCAAAAAGGAGTATATAAACATTACACATATTCACTAGGCATATACATATAAAATAATGGCATGAATTTATAGACATAGGAAAGCATAATTAAATGTCCCCCGCCAAAAAAAAACAACCCTGAAATAAAGCAGAGATTTTTTTTCATTGTAGCCTAGGTTAGGACAACAGTTATCTACTGGATGGCAGATCATGAATACCTTCAAACAGATCAATTCAGCCATTCTTTAAGGGGTCTTATTTCCTGATTTGTATATAACCACTTGGTTAGTCCTTATTGTGGGCACAGAGGTAATCTGCAAGAATTCTGTTCAGACTCATCAGGTTGCATTAAGCAAGACTCCAAAAGCTAGGATCAGCACCAAGCAAGTTTTAGTAAAAATAATACAGATAATTATGTATT